TTTTATAATTACTAGGGTCAATTTTACTGTACATGAATAATGGAAAAAAAACATATTTTATATATTATTTTTTTTGTAATTGCTAGGGTCTGCTTTTTGATAAATTAAAGAAAAATAAAAAAAAATGAAAACAGAAACACCAAAGTAATAGTACTCTTAGAAAACAAGGAAAATCATGCACTTTACTTGAAAAGAAAAAAAAAACAAATGACGGCCTCAACAATTCAACTATCATATATATCGTGGTGCGCCACACTATGTGGAAAAGAATAGAGTGGCACACGTCAATAATTTTTTTTAATTTAAAAGTCAATATGCAAGTATCAAAAGAACTCATGACCTTGATAATTATCAAAAATAATTTGTGTGAAAGTATAAAAATATCAAAAAATACCAACTTATTTTTTTTATTTAAGGCCAAAATCATAATTTTATTGTACACGAATAATGGAAAAAAAAACATATTTCACATTTTTTTATAATTACTAGGGTCAATTTTACTGTACATGAATAATGGAAAAAAAACATATTTTATATATTATTTTTTTTGTAATTGCTAGGGTCTGCTTTTTGATAAATTAAAGAAAAATAAAAAAAAATGAAAACAGAAACACCAAAGTAATAGTACTCTTAGAAAATAAATTCATCTCTTCTTTTAATTTTTTTTTAATATATTATTTTATTTTAGAGTAAATTGTTATTTGAACCTTGTGTTTTTGATAAAATAATTAATCAATCCCTTTGTTTTTAAATATCTAATGTTAAGTCCTTATATTTTCATATTAGATCACAACTTACTCTTTAAGTTAGTTTTTTTTATCTCAATTATTTCTTTTTGCCTCATAAATTCCTAAGAATAAAACAAAGAAACAAATTAATTTGAATTTTCATGTTATATCAAGGACAAATAGTCACATTCAAGCACTAGCAATTAACTAAATACATACTCTCTTTTAAAAGCTAGCACAAGATACTCAGCTCTTGATTGCCTTATTTTTCCTTTATAGGTCGTTGAAAGTTAAGAATTGGATATAAATGAAATCAATTTAACATCAATGTTTAGAAATCTTTAAACTATAAAAATCATAACCAGAGATTTTTATAAATATGAAAATTACAATTAAAAATTAATTCAAAAACTCCCTTCTCATTTCTCACTGCCCTCTCCGTCTCATGTGGGCAAGAAAGTTTTATTTTGTTTTGTTTTTATTTTTACGATGATCTTTGTCTAAAAACAACTTTTAATCTCCAAAAGTTCTTACCATATAATCATAATAAAAACTCATTACCCTTATTAAATGAGTTGAAAAAATATGGTCAAATAGCAATAAGGTTTATTGGTGAAGGATGGGGATAGCTATCGTGAATCAACTTTGAGTTGATTTTGCTAGTGGAAGTCATGATTTGGATGGGTTGGATTTCTTTTTCTTTTTAATTTTAACATAACTCGATTATAGTTAACGATAAAGATAATGATATATTTTTTTTTGGTTGAATTTTAATTTTTCAAAAATAGAAAAGAGTTGGAGGATTGGCATGGAGAAAATTAGATGGTGGTTTGGTTAAAGCTAGAAAATACAAAAAAAAAAATGATTAATTTCAGGAAAAGATGAAGTTAGATAAATGATGTATTTTCACCAACTTAGATAAAATGAATCTTATGATTTTGAAAATTACTTCAAACATAAGAATTCAATTAGCAAATCAAATTAATTTAATCTACTTAATTAAAATAAATTCTAATATAAAATTGATTTCTAACAAGTTTTAGTTATTTTTTCTTAAATATAGATCTTAGATCTAGATGTTCATTATGAGTATATTGAGGTATTTTGATGGAGAAAAAGACTAAAAATGTGTCTAAATAGCTTCCTAAGTGATTTGAGTTTTGAAACTACTAGAGGAATTAAAGGTATTGTATGACAAAACTATAGGCATCGTAGAAATTACATGATTTTATAGATCTAAGCTCATGTAAGTTGATTGATTTCAGTATATTATTTTTCTTTTTATGCATGTATATTTTATGTGAATTTTCTTATGAATCATACCAAGACAAGGTTTTTTATATATATTTAATTAATATTTTTTTATGAGTTATACTAAATAATTGTAAAGTTTTGTACTTCTAGTAGTATACAGTTTAGTATGAGTTTTTCCCCCATGATATGCTAATTCTTTTTAATAAAAAAAAGCTAAATTGATGAAACCTTTCTTGAACTCAAAGTCATAGAATTAATCTCTATATTCTCAATTTTAGTTTTAATCTTCTTATAATTTATCTAGTATATATATGTGAAATCAAGTCTTCATGTTATTTTTTCTAAGATTTTGTCCGTATTATACATATAAAATCTAATGAAATGATTTAAATATTCTCAATATTAATAATCTTCAATTTAATTTCAGTTCTTTATCTACAAGATTTCATTTTAAAGATTTTGTATAAAGAAACCAGTAGTCTATATCTTTCTTCCTTAAAATCTCTGTTTTTTTTTTTGAAAAAACAATTATAATAAAAATTTCTAGATAAATTCTGTTTTTTTTTAAACAATTATAATAAAAATTTCTAGATAAAAAATTAAAAATTATGGTATTATATTTTATTTTCAAAATCTGAAATTAATTCTATCAAAACAACTAAAATTGATCAATTAAGTTAAAAGTTATTGAAGTTAAGGATGCTTAAGTTTTAATTTATTATTAATTTAAAATAAAATATGGATGAAAATCTGAAAAAGTCAATTCAAGAGATTAGATTTTTAATATATCAATAGAAAGCGTAAAACTAAATTTAAATTATAACTAGTATATTTATCCGTGCTATGTAATAAGTTAATATTATTTTTTAAAAAATATTAATAATGTCTTGTAGTCATATCAGACCCAAGCATCTTGAGTTTGATATTTTTATTAGGCCCACATGATTGTTTAAGTTTGACAAACATGTTTAACCCAAGTTTAGTTGAGTCTGGAAACATTTCTAACCTATGTTTATTTCAATAACAACAACAGCAGCAATAACAACAACAATAATAATAATAATAACAATAACAATAATAATAATCATATTAATATTAAAACTAACAACAACAATAATACCAAACTCAATTAAACTTAGGTCAAGCATCTTACCAGATTCATATTACTTGGATCTAACAAAAATATTTAACTCAAGTTTACTTCAATAACCATAACAACAACAATAATAATCATAATAATTATAACAACACCACCACCACCAAAACAAATAATATAAATAATAACAACAAGTATAATCATACTACTAATAAAAAAAATAATAAAAACAATAACAATAATAATGTTTGCCAAACCATACTTGATCTAATATGTAATCATGTCTAACTAAAAGTTCATATTGCTAAACCTAACTAAACTTTTTATTAGGCATAGTAGCATGTTAGATCAAGCATGGTTGTCATACCCAAGCACCTTGAGTCTAGCAATATCCCAAATTCAGGATATTTGGATTTAAGAACATATCAAACCACCACCACCAAAACAAATAATATGAATAATAACAATAAGTATAATCATACTACTAATAAAAAAATTAATAAAAACAATAACAATAACAATAATAATGTTTGTCAAACCATGTTTGATCTGATATGTAACCATGTCCAACTAAAAGTTCATATTGCTAAACCTAACTAAACTTTTTGTTAGGTATAGTTGCATGTTAGATCAAGTATGGTTGTCATACCCAAACACCTTGAGTCTAGCAATATCCCAAATCCAGGATATTTGGATTTAAGAACATATCAAATCTATATTATTTAATCTGACAAACATACATAACTCAAGTTTACTTCAATAATTACAATAACAACAATAACGATCATACTAATAATAATAATAGAAAAGAATAATAATGATAATTATACTAATAAAACTAATAATAAGAATACTACTACTATTACTACTAATAACAACAACAATAATACTAATCATATTAATACTAATAATAATAACACTAAAAATAATAATCATACTAATAATAATATAATACTAATAACAATAATAATAACTATAACTATAACAATAACAAGGTTTGGTGTGGATCAAATATGATTATCTAACTCAATTAAACTTTGTGTTTGACAATATACAAGATTCACGTTACTTGAATATAATAAATATACCTGATCCAAGTTTACTAAAATATGATAAATATATCAGATTTATGTTATTTTGGTTTGATAAACATGTATTTTTAATAGTGTAGGTACCATTCACTAGTTAGAATTGATCCAAGCTTACTAGAATATAATAAATATATCAGATTTATGTTATTTTAGTTTGATAAATAGTGTAGGTACCATTCACTAGTTAGAAAAGAAAAAAAACAAAGAAAATTTTCATAAAAATTTTCATAAAATTAAAAATTAAAAATTAAAATATTATTACAATTACAAAGAAACTTTTCACAAAAATAAAATAAAATTAAAAATTAAAATATTATTACAATTTCTAATATTTTTTTAGTCTATAATTATTTTCTTATAATATTTAGCTTTTTATTATAATAAAAAGACTCAAACACTTTAGCCCACAAGAAACCAACACACACATCTATTAAAATCATATACCAAATATAAATGAAAAGGTCTAAACAAAAACCAAACCCTACAAAGATAATAATAATCATTTAATTATATGAAGAGGTGTTTAATAATGTGTTTTAAAAATTAAAATTTTTTATTTTTTATTTATTTATATGAAGAGGTGTTTAATATTGTGTTTTAAAAATTAAAATTTTTTATTTTAAATTAATATATTTTTGATATTTTTAAATTACTTAGATAAATTAATTTTAAAAATAATTTTTTTTAAATAAAAAAATATTATTAATATATTTTTTAATAAAAAAAATATATTTTTTAAAAGATAACCATAATCACGTTCTCAGACCCTCAGAAATATCAAGGGCGTGTGATTTCAATGACCATAATCACGTTCCCAGACCCTCAGAAATATCAAGGGCGTGTGATATAATGCTTCTCCTATTTGCCTAACATAATTCCTTCGTTGTCTTGGTTCCGTTTTTTTTGCATCTGACGGCGGCCAAAAACATACGTTGCAACAAGGCCACCTACAGTGTTCAAATTCATGGAATGCGACTTCATTACCCTGAAATTGCGCTCCCCATCACTAAATTATCGATTCTGCCCTAGACATTCTTCTTCTATGAAGTTACCCAACAAGCCCCGTTCAAGTTCAACTTCATTGTTGCTTTCTTTTGGGTCAAATTTTTCAGTTTCTACTGCCGCTCTCAGTACGATTGAACCCAGCCCCACAAGAGATTTCAATCCCACCAATCCTCAAAACTCGCCGGCTCACCTCCCTGAGGCTAGTACAAAGATATTCAGAAAGTTTTGGAGTCCGAATTTGCCTAATCTAAATGGTAAAAGTGAAAGTAACGTAACTGGCAGACCTGTGAGGCTTGATGCAAAGGAGAGGCTAAAACGATATTCTGTTATGCTGCGTGAGTGTGCTTCAAAAGGGGATGTAAAAGAGGGGAAGGCTATTCATGGGAACTTGATTAGAAGTGGAGTGGAGCTAGATTCACATTTGTGGGTTTCTTTGATTAGTTTCTATGCAAAATGTAGGAGCCGATTCTTTGCACGCAAGGTGCTTTCTGAAATGCCCCAGCGAGACGTTGTATCATGGACTGCGCTGATTTCTGGATTTGTGAATGAAGGCTGTGGAAGTGAGGGCGTTAGTCTATATTGCGAAATGAGAAAGGAGAATGTAAGGGCCAATGAGTTTGCATTGGCTACTGCATTGAAAGCTTGCTCCATGTGCTTGAATTTAGAGTTTGGAAAGCAGGTCCACGTGGAAGCAATTAAAGCTGGATTGCTATTGGATTTGTTTGTCGGGTCTGCGCTTGTTGACCTTTATGCTAGATTTGGAGAGATGGAACTTGCTGAAAGGTTGTTCTTTGACATGCCTGAGAAGAATGGCGTGTCATGGAATGCTCTGCTCAATGGTTATGCTCAGCTGGGCGATGGTAAGAAGGTTTTGAAGTTGTTTTGTAAGATGAAAGAGTGTGAAAAAAAGTTTAGTAAGTTCACTTTGTCTACTGTCTTAAAAGGTTGTGCTAATACAGGGAGTTTAAGAGAAGGAAAAGTACTGCATGCTCTGGCACTCAGAAGTGGGTGTGAGATTGATGAATTTCTGGGTTGCAGTCTTGTTGATATGTATTCAAAGTGTGGGACGGTTTATGATGCGTTAAAAGTGTTTACAAAGATAAGAAATCCTGATGTAGTGGCCTGGAGTGCGATGATCACTGGCCTTGATCAGCAAGGCCATGGCCAAGAAGCGGCTGAGTTATTTAATCTGATGAGACGTAAAGGAGTTAGACCTAACCAATTTACCCTTTCTAGTCTTGTTAGCACGGCTACTAATATGGGTGACCTGCGTTATGGTCAAAGCATTCATGGTTGTATATGCAAATACGGGGTTGAATCTGATAATTTAGTCAGCAATCCATTGATCATGATGTACATGAAAAACAGGTGTGTGGAAGATGGTAACAAGGTGTTTGAGGCAATGACCAATCAAGATTTAGTTTCTTGGAATGCCCTTTTATCTGGATTCTATGACTCACAGAGCTGCGGTAGAGGACCAAGAATCTTCTACCAGATGCTCTTGGAAGGTCTCAAGCCTAACATTTTCACATTTATTAGTGTTTTAAGGTCTTGTTCTAGTCCGTTGGATCCAGAGTTTGGAAAGCAAGTACATGCTCATATCATAAAAAACAGCAGTGATGGTGATGACTTTGTTGGGACAGCTCTTGTTGACATGTACGCAAAGTCCAGATTCTTGGAAGATGCATGTGTAGCTTTTAATAGATTGGTTAATCGGGACATTTTCTCCTGGACAGTCATTATTTCTGGTTATGCACAAACTGATCAAGCAGAAAAGGCTGTTAAGTATTTTCGTCAAATGCAAAGAGAGGGTATAAAGCCAAATGAATACACTCTTGCCAGCTGTTTAAGTGGATGTTCCCGTATGGCAACCTTGGAAAATGGGCGGCAACTCCATTCTGTGGCAGTTAAGGCTGGGCATTTTGGTGATATATTTGTTGGTAGTGCACTGGTCGATATGTATGGGAAATGCGGTTGCATGGAACATGCCGAGGCAATTTTTAAAGGCTTGATTTCACGGGATGTAGTCTCATGGAACACTATCATATCTGGGTACTCGCAACATGGTCAGGGGGAGAAGGCTCTTGAAGCCTTTAGGATGATGTTATCTGAAGGAATTATGCCTGATGAGGCCACTTTCATTGGTGTTCTTTCTGCATGCAGTTTCATGGGTTTGGTTGAAGAGGGGAAAAAGCGTTTTGACTCGATGAGTAAAATATATGGGATTAACCCTTCAATTGAGCATTATGCTTGCATGGTTGATATTCTTGGCCGAGCTGGAAAATTCAATGAGGTCAAGCTCTTTATTGAGGAAATGAACCTAACCCCCTATTCCCTCATCTGGGAGACTGTTCTTGGGGCTTGCAAATTGCATGGAAATGTTGACTTTGGTGAAACAGCTGCTAAGAAGCTGTTTGAAATGGAACCTATGATGGACTCCAGTTATATATTGCTATCAAACATTTTTGCAAGCAAAGGTAGGTGGGATGACGTAAGAAACATCAGAGCATTGATGACACTGGGAAGGATTAAAAAAGAACCTGGGTGTAGCTGGGTAGAAATTGATGGTCAAGTTCACGTCTTCTTGTCTCAAGATGGTTCACACCCGAAAATGAGAGAAATTTATGCCAAGCTGGACAAGCTGGGGCAAAGTCTGATGTCAATAGGTTATGTGCCAAAAACAGAAGTTGTTCTTCATAATGTCTCTAACAAAGAAAAAATGGAGCATCTCTACTATCACAGTGAAAGACTGGCTCTTGCCTTGGCTCTTCTAAGCACCAATGCAGTGAAACCAATTCGGATTTTCAAAAATCTAAGAATCTGTGAGGATTGCCATGATTTTATGAAGCTTATCTCTGACATCACAAATCAGGAAATACTTGTCCGTGATATTAAACGGTTCCACCATTTTAAGAGAGGCACCTGCTCTTGTCAGGATCGTTGGTAATTTTTCTGCAAAACCACAAAGCATAAGCATCAAGGACCAGAAGTTTGCATATCCGGAGTCAAATATTTGGTAATGTGCTTGGGATATTTTATGTTCATTATATTCCAGATAATTATTCTACATGACACTGTTACGATGTTCCTCTGCACTCATTTTTGTATTTCTCCAGATCAAGTGCATGAAAACTCTGAAAGCAAAGGAGCATCTGATTGTTGCTGCTAACAATATTTTGAAGAGATGCTTCAGGAAACAGGGTGGCTTTCTATCCTTGCATATAAGGTACTTTTTTTATCGCTTTCTTTTACTCAATAGAAAACCTCAAGGAAAATTATGTTCGCAGTTAGAAATAATTCAAAGCATTCCCGCTCAAGTTTGTAATTTTTGTGCATGCGTCTCCCTCCATATCTTTGCTAGCTGCTGCTTATCTGGGCTCTAATATGGAGGCGGTGCGTATAGCATATCCCTCGGTGCACAAGTAGAAGGACCTGCATCGGTGCATTCCACTAATTGAACCGTGCCTAGAGTTTCTGCACGTCACCTTTGCAATAAATTGAATTGTGCAAGTGCCACCACAGCGCTGAATTTCTGATTCTCTTGACTGCTCTTTTCTTTGTGATGATCCTTTGTCTATAGTACCCATTAAATGACATTGGAAATTAATCGCCAAGTAAATTTACAGCTTAGCAATGTATTGTGGAACTGCCTCTCAAACCGAAACAACCCAGTTAAGCTCTTCTAACTCCTGGTTGACTCCATACGCTGGCTGTTCTGTCAGTTGCAGAGTCTGCTGAGGTAGGGACTTCCAGGACTTGTCCTTATGACTTGTTGCTGAAATTACTTCGGAGAGAATCACAGTCTGAGTGTACTTGCACCCCTGAGAAGAAGTTGGGTCTCTTCTCAGATCGCTGTATGACATGGAAAGAAGTTTGGCTCCTAATGCAATAACGTTGATTGAAGCATTTCATTCTACTTGTACACCGAGTTTGCAGACTTCCCTGTTAAAAGCTTCGGTGTTAAAAGACTAGTACTCCAAGAAGATGATGCTGAAAGATTAAGTGATTTTTTTTTTTTTTATATATTTGAAGGATTATAATATATTACTTAGATGGTACCATATATTTGATATTTAAATATAAATAAATAAATTTATTAAATTGATAATAAATTAAATTGTTTAATTTAATCAATCTTATGTTGATTAAGATTAAAATTTATATTTAGATTAATATAATAAGTCACACACATTTAAAATCATTGAGAAAAAAATATTAAATATGGATAATTAATTAAGTATAATTTAATTGTAAATAAGTTTTATTAATTAAATATTATAATATAATCTATATAAGAAATTATAATTCTATATCTAGAAATATCTAGTAAGAATTTTGATTGAATAAATTTATAAAATTATTTTAAAATAATATAAGTGATATTATTTATAGGATAAATTGATATTTACTGTTTAAAGAGTTGTTAGGTTTTTTTTATAAATAGATTCAAATGTTTCATATTTTCTATACAGAACACCAAATACATATAGGGTAATCAATCTTATGTTGATTAAGATTAAAATTTATATTTAGATTAATATAATAAGTCACACACATTTAAAATCATTGAGAAAAAAATATTAAATATGGATAATTAATTAAGTATAATTTAATTGTAAATAAGTTTTATTAATTAAATATTATAATATAATCTATATAAGAAATTATAATTCTATATCTAGAAATATCTAGTAAGAATTTTGATTGAATAAATTTATAAAATTATTTTAAAATAATATAAGTGATATTATTTATAGGATAAATTGATATTTACTGTTTAAAGAGTTGTTAGGTTTTTTTTATAAATAGATTCAAATGTTTCATATTTTCTATACAGAACACCAAATACATATAGGGTAGAGAAAAGAAAGTTAATACTAAATACATAACAATCCCTCTATTTTAAAAAGATTTTAAGAAATTTTTAATTTTATGGTTATTGTAAGTTACTATTAGATGCTGACAATTGAAAAATTCATAATTTAGTTAGAAGCTCAACAGTGATATTATTTATAGGATAAATTGATATTTACTGTTTAAAGAGTTATTAGGTTTTTTTTATAAATAGATTCAAATGTTTCATATTTTCTATACAGAACACCAAATACATATAGGGTAGAGAAAAGAAAGTTAATACTAAATACATAACAATCCCTCTATTTTAAAAAGATTTTAAGAAATTTTTAATTTTATGGTTATTGTAAGTTACTATTAGATGCTGACAATTGAAAAATTCATAATTTAGTTAGAAGCTCAATTGAGAAGCTTATAATTTATAACAATGCAGCCTTAAAGAGTTAATCAAACAAAAAAAATATTGAATATTCAAATAATTTTTGTATAAACTCTAAATAATTTTAAATTATTTAATTAAATTCTTGGTACTCTTAAAAGATTTTATAATTACTGTTTTTTGTTTTTATTTATTTATATGTTTTAAGAAACCTAAAGGTGGCTTAGAGCTATATAGAGATAATTAAGGTTGATGGTTATATATTTTAATTGTTATTATACTTAATTATAGATCAAATTTATGTGTAAAATAATTTTTCCAAATATAATTTTTATTTCTTTTTTATCTTATGATATTTTTAAAAGCAATCTTAGTTTCTGTTCTGTTGAGATCTGGTTGAATTTCTACATATCTTGATGGAATCTACAGAAAAATAAAAAAATGGTTTTGGAGTGGCTATGACAACCACCAGTGGTGGCTTTTCAATGTTCCCATTCAACTCATCATTGGCGGCAAGTGCAATAGTCCATGGCTACTACCGCACCATAGCAGTGCCAAGCGCTGTTGGGTAGCCATGCGTGAGGGTAATGCCCCAAATATGGTGTTTGCATTGTGCTACTTATAGCGTAGTGACAGCTATGACTACCAATAATGAGGGTAAGGTGCCCCCATTAGCAGCAGCCAGGAAGAAGGAAATAAGGGGCAAAATTCCCCTAAAGCCAATGTAGAGTTTTTTGGGTCTGAACTATAATTCTACCATTGAAATCTATGCTTAATTAGAATTTGGTATTTAAATGGTAGAATTACAATTTTACCTTTAAACATATAAAATATTGATTCTATATTGAAATTAAAATTTCAAATGAAATTAATTGCAAAATTAATTGTTTTAATTGGATTAAAATTATTATATATAAAGGATGCTAATAATGAAGTAATGACTGAATATTAACACAATATTAATAATAATAACATGAATATTAACACAATATTAATAATAATAAAAATGTTATACATGTGATGTTAGCTAATATATTGCCTGAACTTCAAACACAATATACAAATATAAATTCTTATATTATAATTATACATCTCAAATAGTAGTTTGATAATATACAAATATAAATTCTTATACTATAATTTGATGTAGCTAATATGATTGAAAGGTATGTAACCTTTAGAGAATTATAATGTTACAAGATGACAAAAGGTTCATCTTTAAACTTTCATGTTTTGTTTATAATTGAGAATTATTTTTGCACTTTGTATAGTAATTCTCAAATATTGGATGATTGATGTGATTTTCTCAATTGCAAGAAAATTATAGAAAGTAAAGAAAAATAAAAGATTATATAAGAGTAAAGTGGATCCATGTTTTGGTAATTGAGAAAAATTTGCTACATTAGAACTTATTGTTTAACTTTTCTAAGTGTGTTGATACTATAATTTGATAATTGTTATTTAAATTTATTATTAAGGGAAAATATTGTTCTTTTTATAATAATGGTATTTATTATAGTTCTAATAATTATATAAATGGTTTGTATATATTTAAAAATGCCCTTGTTCAATATAAACAATAAGAGAAATAAATTAGATAATCAATATTCATCTTATTTATTTATGACATTGTAGATTAGGTTATATCAATAAAACATGAATTATTAAGTTACATGAAGAAAAATATTTTGATTCTTTTTATTATGAATCATAGAATCATATGAAATGTGTAAAGCTTGTTAATTGGATAAGAGGATTAAAACACTCTTTACTAAAAAAATAAAAGATCTAATGAATTATTATTATATATATATATTTGATGAAGCATAAGTCTAAATTATTTGAATGGTTCAAAGAATTTAGAATTGAAGTAAATAAACAAACTAAAAATAGTACAGATATACTTTGATCATATCAAAATGATGAATACTTAAGCAAATAATTTCAAGATTATAACAAGATTATCTCACAATGAGTACTTCTTGGAACATCACATGATAATAGAGTTTATTAAAGGAGAAGGTGCACCATATTAAATATGGTGTGGTCTATATTGAGTTATAAACACATTTATCTTTTTTTTTTAGGATTATGCCTTACAAACTAAAACTTACCTTTTAAATAGAATTCTAATAAAATTTGTTGATAAGGTTTCATATGAGAATTGTAAAGATAAGATACCAAATTTATCATACTTAAAGATTTGAGGATGTGATACTTATATGAAGTGTATTGTACCTATAAAGATAAAAGCTTAGTTAAATAAATGTAAGTTTATGGGATATTCAAAAGAAACTGTTGAATTTTATTTTTATCATCCTAATAAATAAAAGATGTATGTTTCATAACATCTTATACTTTTAGAAAAATATTTTGTTCTTTAAAAAGGAAAATAGAACTTGAAGAAATTCAAGAACCATAAACTAACATAAATAAAGCTTCAAGAACCATAAACTAACATCTAAATAAAACCCAAAACCAAAGCTATAACATTAGATGTTCAAATTGGAGCTAAAAAATACAAGAACTTTATAGATCTGGTAGAACATATCATTGACACGATCAAAAAATTAATTTCTTCTCCTAAGTGTAGGAGTGTCGAAGTAATAAATTACCCGGCAAGACCGGGATCGAACCATAGGAAGGTTAATTGTATAAATTATAAGCAACAACAACAACAACTCTAATAATAGTAG